TATATATATATATATATATATATATATATATATATATATATATATATATATATATATATATATATATATATATATATATATATATATATATATATATATATATATATATATATATATATATATATATATATATATATATATATATATATATATATATATATATATATATATATATATATATATATATATATATATATATATATATATATATATATATATATATATATATATATATATATATATATATATATATATATATATATATATATATATATATATATATATATATATATATATATATATATATATATATATATATATATATATATATATATATATATATATATATTCAATAATATTTTTGTTGGTTATATGGCAGGGACTTTCTACCCTATATATTATTTAATTTGCTTAATATTCCAGAGGTTAGAGTGGCCGAATTTGAAACCCAAAAAGAAAAAGATATGGAATTGATTAGGTGAAGATCTATATGGGTTCAATTCTCTGCATAATAAGTTTCAGAGAGATAACGCGTTAGGCATAGGCATGCATATAGTCAACGTACACGACCTACATGATGTACGAGCACCACAAGACATCAGACCCAATATTTGCAAGTTGACGAAAATTCAGCCTTCATATAATTAACAGCCAAATATAAATATTGAATTAATGATATATCTTTCTGCACCTACCAAACGCAAATATTTTATGATAAATAAATACGCATTAGATCTGAGAGGCTTAACCAAACGACCGGCCTTACCCCGTAAAGCCTATCATCAGTTATTACTTGCTGTGTTATATACAAGCCCACTCTAATTTGACTGAAAACCAAAGCCAGAAGAATTAAGCATGTGATTTTCTCATATTATTAGTTAACTAAATCGAGTTTAACAACTTGGGTTTGCAAAATAAAAGGTCAGAACTCAAAATTCAGAAAAAATATGTACATATATATATGTATATATTTCCACTTGATGTTCTATACTGATCACAGCTAGCTACTAGTGCTTGTCACGAGCACATATGAATCTTGATTAATGATTTAAATGTCAAATTGAAGTAAATTAGATTTAAGAAATCTATAAGCGCGTGCATATGATAACCTAATGAACAAAGTCAACCCAGAAATTGATAAGTTTGGACTGATCAACTTATAAGAAAGAAAAAAAAAAAACTTTGGACCAAATTAATGTAAATTAGTTGAGCATGATGAGTAGTGGCGTGAGTGCATGTGATTAAGTTTCGTAAGGGTTAATTGATAATGTGGTTAGTTTAGATGTATTGAATTAATGATCATGTAATGAACCTAGTGGTTGATAATTCATTATGAAGATTATATAAAAGTCATATAGGGGATGACATGTTGGACATATCAAACCGGCCAAATTAAACCAATTTGACCGGTTTGGTTCAGTTTTAATACAAAAAAAGTGTGACTTTGAGGAAAACTGAACATAGGATACCTCGAGTACACGAGTAAATATTTTTAACCACTTGAACTATGACAATTCTTTGCTATGAGTTTTCATATCCAGTAGCCACATACGAGCCAATATAATGGATTTTGGCTTTATTAAGCGGTTTTTCTTGGTGGCTAATGTGTATGAAGCAAGTAAGAATGTTTTAATCTGACAAAAAAATTAAAACAAAAGAAAAACGGTTTCATTAATATGACTTCGTCAATTTATCAAAATTCAAACGGTTCCGTGTATGTAATCTTTGCATGACCAAGTCAAAGGGTCAGCAAAGCTCCAAATATACATTTTTTTTGTACATTTGGCTAACTTTTTTAGCACACATTGACTCCAAAGTTTTCAATCGATAGGAGCTCTTCTGGTTTGACTTTGCTTGATTAGGTTACGTACTCATCATTTATATAATCTCTCTGACTCATGCATAGTTCATCAATTTCTTAGTCTACTTGGTTAATAATTCGTGACAAGTGGAATTAAATATTAAGAGATCAAAAGTCTTTCCTTTCTGAAGCACATGAAAATCCAAATGAGCTTGAGGCAGCTGTACTTAATTGCTTCTCTGACCTTTTCGCATGCAACCCAACTTGCTCAAAAAGAGACTTATTCACATGCTTATTCGGGGGCTTTGAGTTTCAGTCAAATTACTGGGTTGGTTTGTAAGTTACTATAGCTTTGAGTTTCAGTCAAATTAGGGTATTGGGTTTATACGTTGTATATATGCGTACACAGGAACTGTTATTGGCACTCCTAGCTAGTATAAGAGACACATCGGCAATAATAGCTTTGTATCTATGTACATAGGGAACTGTCATTATACATTTCTCCCTTGTATAAATATAAGAGAGAAAATTACACTTCAAATAGTGCATGATGACTCTTTTAGAATGTCAGTAATAACTAACATGCCGGTTACTTTATATTATTTGTTGGATTTTTGATGGTATCTATTTTTCTCTTATATATATATGGTATTCGTACTACGCGCTTAATCCTAATTAATAATGCACAAATACCACTAATGCACGACCAATATGTGGTTAATTATCATATTATATATTTCCATGTGGTAGCTAGGTTTAATAATTAAATATTTATATTGGCTAAATGCTCATTTTGGTGACACCACCTCTCACATTAATCAAAGAAATTAACAACTTCGCAATTAATGTGCATGTTATATGGTTAATTTTCTTCACCTTTACATGTATTTCGGGGATGCATGTGTGTCTTCTTGTGCCTCAACACCTATCAAATGATGACCTTCGCCTAATTGTCGTTTAAAAGTTCGTAAACCAAAAACATCCATGAAATGAAGGGTTTACATAATCTAGAATGTTGATTATATTATATGCACCTAACACGTTTAAAAAGCTTAAACTTATTTCCTATCTATCTAAGTACATTGGATCTAATTGACATTGAGGAATGTTAACTATATTACATTGCATCACACCCTCTTGCAGTTTAGTGGTATTTCTCTCTCTTCACATTATTAGAAGAGATTCCAAGTTTCAATCTCCTCTCTCCCTATTAATAATAAAAAATATATATCTTCTACAGAGTCGTAGGTCATTTTAATTTCGATTCAATAGAAATTCTCTTTTTCAATATCTCACTTTTAAATCTCTAGATAATTAGACAAAATAGGGAGAATTAAGCTTGGTACTAGACATATAACAAAATTATTAAAATGATTGAACATATAAGAATATATGGTTGTAAGTCCATAAATTTACACATTTATGTACTCCTTATACTTAGTTTTTGTAGGAGAATTTGATTTAAAAAGGACTTATTACTTTATTTTCTCAATTTTCAGCTTTCAGAGCAAGTAATTTGTTTTCAATGGAAATACAACTTTTTGGTGGAATTTTAGTACAAGACTAGTTGGAGATAAAAGCTAAGATCTTGAAGATAATTGTGGAATTTTTCTAGAATTTTCGGAGCAGCCAATGAGAGTAATCTTTGAAGTTAAGTCAGCATAAGATGCAATATTGTCAAAATTGGGCTGCTGTGGAAGAATGATTATTTGAAAACTTTCCTGATTTTTTCTCAAGGCGTGCGATATATGGCTAGAAAGATAAGACAAAGATCTACAATTTACATATTTTTCCCGAATTTTATTGGACGAGGAACAACCCCAAACGTGCATGCAAAGTAATTGATGTGTTATCCCAGCCCAAGTAGGTAGATGAGTCAATTACTTACCCATTTTGGATTTATGTTTTAATTAGGTTTTTCTTTATTTTTGGGCTGCTGTAAATGCCCAGCTAGGGTAGGAATAGACGTGTGGTGTTTTATTTAAGCATAGAAACAACTCCTTTGGGGTCACCAAAAGACTAGGAGAAATTGGAGACGCTGGAAGAGTACCGCAATTGGCTAAGTTTTATTGTTTCTTCCTTATGTTTTTGTTTATGTCGAATTCTATAATTATGTGTAACTAATTTTCTTAGGGCATGATGTAGCCCTAGTATGATAATCTAGTTTTCTTATTTTACCTATCTATTGATTGCCATTTGATGTTGAATTCTTAATTACTGTGCTTAATAACTTGGTTGAGTATCTTGATGCTTGATCACCATCTAGACTTTTAATTGAGTTAATTGGATGCAAATTAGAGTGAATACCATACTTAATTTGAGGCTTGCTTCTTGTGATTAGGATTCGTAATTCGTCTAGGGTAAATACCATACTCCTAGGGTTTACATGCTTGTTGGAGGTTTTCACTGATCTTAATGAGTTTCTATGTGTTGATATTTGACCTGAATACCATAGGCGAATTGCACGTAGGAATATACGAGTTAGCCTAAATATCATAGGTAATTCATGAAAAAGGAAAACTAAGCGGTGACATCAAATGGTTAGTTAATAGGTAGGTGAATAAGAGAACTAGATTGGATTACTAGTGGTGAATTCATTGTCCTAGTGCTTTTATCAATTTGAATTTCTCATCATGTGTTTCATGACTTTCTACTTGTTTTGTCTTTTAATTTCGTTGGTAATTAAATCATTCTTTCACAAACCCCTTTTGTGTTTACGTGACTATGCTACGTGTTAATTTCTTGTTTATATAATTAGAGTAGTTAAAGTATTTTGTGAAGTAAATCAGGTTAGACTAATTGGAAGTTGAACTCAATCCTCGTGGGAATGACCCCGTATTTGCCATACTATATTACGATTGACCTTGTGCACTTGCGAGTATAATTTGTGTATAGACTAATCTTTATAATCTCCATTTTTCAGGTTGTCTAAAATTCACCACAAAAATGTCAATAGGGTAGGAATACAAGTATCATTAATAAACAACATTTTTCAAGTGGATCATCCGACACTACTTAACATCTACGTGACAGCTACTAACTTTCTCTCTTTCCTCAATTATCTAGTCAAGAAGCAATCAAATAGGCCTACCCACCAAAAAAAAAAGAAGAAGAGAGGAGCACCAATCTGAAGAGCTAACATTGAGCTTTGGATAAAGTCATGCACTTCCAAATACAATAATAATATAATATTATCAAAAATTACTCCATCTTTACTATATATATAGATGTAGACCCCATGACCAATTACACATTCCTCAAAACTCTCTCTAGCCATAGCAATGGCTTCTAAGCTCTTTTCTCTTGTAACATTTTCATCATTTCTCATAATCTTCCATTTCCTTAGCTCCCCATCTTTAGCAGATGTCCCTCTAGACACTCCTCTCCCACCAGAAACAATTTGCAAGTCCACTCCACACCCTTCCTATTGCATATCTGTCCTTCCCCACAAAAATGCCAATGTCTATGACTTTGGCAGGTTTTCTGTCCAACATGCACTTTCCCAATCCAATAAGCTCTTTGATTCAATTGAAAAACATCTTCAACTTGGCTCAGTCTTACCACAGCCTGCAATCCAAGCCCTTGAGGATTGCAAGTTGCTTGCATTGTTGAACATTGATTTCTTATCAAGCTGCCTTGAAACTGTGAACAAGACAAGTGGTGTTCTTGCTAGCTTGGATGCTGATGATGTCCAAACCTTGCTCAGTGCCATTTTGACCAACCAACAGACTTGTTCCGATGGCCTTGAATCTCTGCCTTCTGCAGCTGGGAGTGTCATAAATGATCTCTCAGCCTCAATCTCTAACAACTCACAATTGTGCAGTGTCTCTTTGGCTCTGTTTACCAAGGGTTGGGTGCCTAAGGACAAAAATGGAGTGCCAAAGCAACCCAAGACGCACCTCCGATTCGGGAAGGGACGCTTGAACCTGAAGATGTCAAGCCAAGCTCGTGCAATTTATGACGCCGCTATTAATCATCGGAGAAGAAGACTTCTTCAGGTAGGAGATGAAGAGGTTTTGGTGAAGGGCATTGTGGTTGTGAGTCCAGATGGAAGTGGAAACTTTACCACCATCAATGCTGCCATTGCTGCTGCACCAAACAACTCCGTTGCAAGTGGTGGCTACTTCTTGATATATGTCACTGCTGGTGTTTATCAAGAGTATGTGTCAATTGCATCAAACAAGAAGTACTTGTTGATGATCGGAGACGGTATCAACCAGACAATCATCACTGGAAACAACAGCGTAGGAGATGGCTCGACAACTTTCAACTCTGCCACTTTAGGTGAGTTAATTCAAAAATTCACAAGTTCAAACAATCGACTTAATAAATATTTTTAAGTCGCAGTCTGATAACATAATATGTAAGATTATCACGTGTGAACTAAAAGTCTTATAGAATGCTTAAACTCACAAACATTTTATAAATGATTAACTATAAGCTAATTAGCTTCTTGGTCAATGCAGCTGTCACAGGACTAGGGTTCGTAGCAGTGAACATTACTGTTCGTAACACGGCTGGACCAAGCAAAGGGCAGGCAGTTGCAGTCCGAAACGGGGCAGATTTGTCAGTTTTCTACAGCTGCAGTTTTGAAGGCTACCAAGACACCTTATACACGCATTCTCTCAGACAATTCTACAGAGAATGTGATATCTATGGAACAGTTGACTTCATATTCGGCAATGCTGCAGTTGTTTTCCAAAATTGCAACCTATATCCTCGCCAGCCTAACCAAGGGCAGTCCAATGCCATCACAGCTCAAGGTCGAACCGACCCGAATCAGAACACGGGGACTTCTATCCAAAACTGCACTATCAAACCGACGCCGGATTTGGCTTCGAGTAATTTCACTGTCAAGACCTATCTAGGGAGGCCATGGAAGGAATATTCAAGGACAGTTTACATGCAAACTTTCATGGCTAGTTTGATTGATCCTGCTGGCTGGCTTGCATGGAGTGGAGATTTTGCTCTGAGCACACTGTATTATGCTGAGTACAATAACACAGGCCCTGGATCCAACACTACAAAGAGGGTTACATGGCCTGGCTACCATGTGATCAATTCAACCGTTGCTGCTAATTTTACAGTGACCAACTTCTTGATGGGGGATAATTGGTTGCCTGAGACTGGTGTGCCTTACACTGGTGGATTAATTTGAGTAACTTGTTAAAAAAAAATTGTTGTCGTTAATTTTCTCGTTTTTATGTCATTGTTTGAGGACGCATATTCATATTTGCTTGCTCTCTTCTTGTAAAATGTGGAAGCATTTATCTCTTCTAATTGGAAATTAATGTGTAACTTCATTATAAACTTCTAATAAATTTTATAGTTTCTTTCTTCTGGGATCCAAATTTACTAATAGTTTTGAAATTGGTAATTTAATAATGTATCTTAGCTCAGTCAAAGATCAACTAGCTCGTTTGAAATTAATATTGGGTGGAGTTTTCGTGACTTTACGCGGCTGAACGTTGAATCAATTGAATTCCATAATTTATAGTTAATAGGAACACAACTTGATGTTTACAAATACTTGTTAATTGGGATATAGTAACTTGTAATGCCCACATATATTTCCTTCATCTCAATCTCCTCTTAATTAGTTTGACTAAACCTGTTAAAAATATGTTAATATCACACTAAGTATGTCATGATTCAATTGTCTACTTCTTAGTTAATTCTCAATTATTAGAGAAATTTTTGGGTGTGAAATAAGTATGTGACTCATGCTACATTTATTAATGTCTAAACCCTAACTAATTAAATTAATACCAACCTAGCTAGTGCACATGTTATTGTCATACACAATACTTTTTCGAATGAACGATGAATAACTCAAAACAAGAGTAAATCCAATCCAATAGATAGTAAAAAAACTTAGGTTTATTCTGTTTGTACGTAGTTTTTTCCAACATTATGATCATCTTTGGAAATTATAAACCAAAAGTACAGTAAAAACTAGCAAAATATACCAAAATGGAAGTTTATCCAGACCGAAAAGTATCAAAGTTTTATACTTCGTAAGCTCCCACCCAAGATTTTCTTGTTAGGCATGGTGGTTGTTTTCTTCTTCTTCTTCTCTTTTTCAAGTTAGGCATGTACGCTGAATATCCCGTATGAAATTATGAATGTTATTGGTAGCCACGTCTTTGAATACTCCTTCATTCATCTAATTCTTTTGGCTATAATGTTCTGGTTCCCAATCATTGAATTATATTTTTGAAATGAGGTTGAAAGGTTATGATGATTTAATCCCGACCATAGCAAACATAATGTGTTTTTTATTTTGATTTTTGATTTTTAAAATTTATTTTAATAGACCAAATCGAATCTCTAATTAAGCTACAAAAGATTTAACAATTTAATTAGTTACGACCTACCCACAAACACATTGAACTTATTTAATTGTCAATAAAATTCTAACGATATTATTTGAGACTTGTTAATTATCTTACAAAGAATTCAATCTAGGGATTTTTTTGCCAACGTTAGGAAGGGGAGATGGGAGAAAACTCACACACAGTGGTGAGCAAAATTTAATTGTCAATAAAATTCTAACGATATTATTTGAGACTTGTTAATTATCTTACAAGGAATTCAGTCTATGGATTTTTTTGCCAACGTTAGGAAGGGGGGAGGGGAGAAAACTCACACTGTGGTGAGCAAACCAAAGGCCACAATTTTATATATATATATATATATATTTAGCCCAGGGCCACTTTGGAGCACACCAAAAGTCTAGACCAATCCAACTAACACCCCAAGGCCCCGTTTGGTTCACGAAACAAATTTGACGGGAAATCACTTCCCATGTCATTTCCCAAGGGATGGGAAATGAAGATTCCTTTTCCATGTTTGGTAATCCAGGGAAAGTAACCAAGAAATACCCCAATTTATTTCCTTTCACATGTTTGGTTTGTGTAGGAATGTAAAATAAAGTTTGTTTAATTTTCCAATTATACCCATATGAAATCAAAAAAAAAAAAAACCATTTAGAATTGAATTATCATCAGGAATTGAATTCCACATAGAGGATTCATGCGTTTACTTCACATCAAGGAATTGAAAAGTAAGTGGGGCCCACATAAAATTAGGAATTGAATTCTTGATTATGGAGGAATTCAATTCTTGGGTGGGATGTGGTATTCTAATTCATGAAGAACTAACCCATTAAAAATTCATCTTTTTCACCCATTATATTCTCACACAATTTTTAAAATTCCAAATTTGCCATCTACTTTAACCCAACAACAAGGACATTTTAGTAATTAGCACAATTCCTATCCCAATTCCGTATGGTTTAGTAAACAACTTCAATAGAAATCTGGAATCTAATTATCCTCAATCCAACTCCTCCTCAATTCAATTCCTCCTAATCTAATTACGAATTAGTAAATATGCCATTAATGTTTTAATTCTAAATTATTAATATGGTCATGAAAAATGTGTATTTAATATTGGCTCATTTTCCTAAACTTTCCCATGGGGAGGAAAACAAAACCCAAGGGGAAGGAGAGCTTTACTTTTCCCCCTACTTTCCCATGTGCAAGACAACAGTTTCCTATGCTTGAACTTACCAAACATGGAAAATCAATTAATTTTCCATCCCGAAGCCTCTTTTTTAATGAACCAAACATGGTCCAATGATATTCAGTCTATGTTTGTTTAACATGTTAAAACTTCATTTTAAAATTTCATATTATATGTACTCTTAACTTGACTCATAAACAAGGGCGGAACTACATGTAGACTAGAGTGGGCTTCAGCCTGGTGCAAGATTTAATAAAATACTAATTTGGTGCAAATTTTATAAGATATTTCCTACTCCCCACGAATATTAGTCCACCATTTGTTAAGCTAGTTGGCCCACAAAGTCACATACTTGCAATATATTTGTGGTTTGGAGGCCACGTGAGTGGGAACCATTGTTTCTTCTCTTTTCTTCTTCTTCCGATTTACAGGTTAGCATTTAGATCTACAAGTGCAACAAAGCTTTTGTGTTTATGCCTCTGTGTACATTTTTTGGATATGCTACTGCTATGAATTGTACTTTTGTTCGTGTTTCTGCTTCCTACAGTTTCAGTTTTTGATTCCCACTTGGTTCTTATTGTATCAATTAGCATACCCAAAAAAAAAAAAATTTTGGTTCTCATTGTTTATATAGATCTTCTATACAAAAAATTAAAATTAAAATTTTAGCACACCTCTAGAAAAATTCCTAGTTCCGCCATTGCTCATAAAGCTTGTAAATCCAACCCTAACTCACTCATCAGAAATTTGTGGATTTATATATGTAAATGCAGTAGCTAGCCTCTTCATACACGGTGACAAATATATACCAAGTTGGCTGGTTAGGGGTTAAATTAAGCAATACACATTTATGTCATAAATAAATAATAAATACATCATACACACACGACATGCGTGAGATAAAATAGTCGGAAATTACTACAAGAATGTGATCAAGGTAAAATATAAATGAAGAAAGCAGAATATGTGGAATGAGGTGAAAAAAGAGATGAAAGAGATAATGTTTGACTTTGTAAGTCGGTTGGGTGGATTGATTCTCACTAGAGTAGCTTGCAAAGTCAATCATACACAAACCTTGTTTATTACGTCGGTGAGTTAAGAAAGACTTAATGCATGAATACCAAATCCCAATGGAATAGTGATTGCATCATAGACCAAGTCCATGAGATCAAACAAACTAAATCCAAGTTGCCAAGTTGGCTCGGCAGCTGGTGATTGGACCATATTTGCTAAATTGATGTTGATTATTGAAATGCTAGAGTTTTATTTATTTCGTTGATTTGGTATCTGTATTTTATATTTAGTCAATTTGATTCGTATGTTTTACTCTGTTAGTCAATTTCGTTTAATTAACCACTCTCATCCATGATTTTATGAGAACTATACTCAAATGAATTGACTTGAATGGATTAAAATTACTGATCTAAATTTGTCCTTTCTTGAAATTCATATAGAAATATCATAATGACCCATGTGTAATTTGGTGTGTGAATCATTCTATAATGAGGACTTTAGCTAAAGCTCTTAGATGAGGTCTTATCTCTTAACCGTTGGATCAAAGAGTCTTAGATAAGTTCCTTACTATAGAATTCTACCATACGACTAGTGATAGGGAAGTTTTTCTCATAGCTTCAACATTTCTTATAATTCCATTGGGCATGCAAGTCTTCCTCCTAATGGGTTCTATTTGCTAGTTACAGAAGATGTGCAAAGAGATGTTAGGCCTTAATTTGTTTCTGTCTAGTTGGGTAAGCCCATTCATTGCAGTTCTTTATATTGGGCATTTTGGGCCACATATTTCTTTCTTTGTGTGTTTTTACTAAAGAACCCATTTATTATTTGAGTCTTTCTATTTAAACCCCACATTTTTCTTTGTTCACCCAATACTTAAATCATTAAGCTCTTAAGTTTAATTATTGTGTAAAAAGACAAAAAAGGTCATCCAACTTAATACTTAACCCTAGTACATCTATACACACACTCCACACACCCCATCACTCTTCATATTAAGTTTTAGAAAAACACAAACTCCTTTGCACCCTAATGCCAGATTACTCTTCTCTTTCAATCCAAGAAACCTACTGCACTCCATCTTCTCTTCACAAATCCTAAATACAGTATGCAAATAGTGGCTTATGGGTCGTCAATTGAGGTATGTAATGTCATATTATTTCTTGGTTTGGGACTCATCCCATAATTATTGAGGATGCTGTGATTAAAGACTTTTTGTAATTTTGAGGTTGAGGTGAACTTAGAGTGGTAAGGGGCAATATAACAAGGTGTGGGGTGTGAGGTTGATGAGTTTTTCAATTTTATTTTTATTTTTATGCTAGGTGTGTATTTAGGGATAGTTTGGAAAGATAGTGGGATTTACTTAGAAATTGTGAAAATTTGAATTAGAAGTTTGGGTGAACAAAGAGAAGTGCGGGGTTTAAATAAAAAAACTCTTATTATTTTCCTTCCCTGTATGATGAGAATCCTTTTTGACATTTTAACTCCTTATTTTGGTCTAAAAATCCAATTTCACTCTCAATATCACTTGTATTTAAAAATATATATATCATTGGGCTTGTTCAAGTACAGTAATCTAATATAGTCCACGCTTTACAAACAAGGGTTTATATAGAATTAAACAGCAATCACTAACAACAACGACGCTTTGGCCGAGTGGTGAAGGCGTGTGCCTGCTAAGTACATGGGGTTTCCCTGCGAGAGTTCGAATCTCTCAGGCGTCGATTATTTTATCAAATTTTTTTCCCTGGGCCCCAAATTGAAGATATGTTAATTCCACAAACCACAGCTTATCAATTTCCACACTTGAAAGTTCAAACCAATACAAATGGTTTGAAAGTTCATTGCGAAATGGAGACAAAAAAATTGAAAGCCCAAAATTAGATCCACAATTAGTGGCAATTCATTGGGAAATGGGAAATGGGAAAAAAAATGGAAAAGAGAAAATTAGATCCAGAATTAGTGGCTAGGCTTTTTTGGTGGGGGCTCAGTTCCTACCTCCCCTGCCTAGTTTCTTTCCCATTCCCATATGGAGCTTCAATTCTATTAGGTCCACCCAAATTCTGATGAGATATTATTATGCTCTATATTTATTGGTCAACCACAAAAATTAAATTCCTTGAAATCTTTTTGGTGGTGGATGTCATTTGCTCATTCATTTGTGGCTACTTTTTATTTGACAAATTGATGACCTCAAAACTTTATCATGGCCAAGGGAATTTTGAGTTGATCAAGTGAGAACAAAAGAAATGAATAAGAGGGCACATATTCAATATCTGTGTAATATTCTCCCAAGTGGGGAAAGAAGAAAACTACTAGATTGTTGTGGAGGGTTCTCTTCTCCTCCATACACAATTTAGAATTGACAGAGTCCTTGAGTGCTTTTGAAGCTGAGGTTGGTGTGGAAGATGCTTCACTCTCTTTGTTATGCATGTTCATGTTCATCCCCTTTGAAAAAAAAATGGAAAATGGGGTTGGGGTTAAAAGATGAAAACCATCATTAGAGATCAATTATGGGTTTAATTATTATGTTTAAGGCACGCATAATCAATTATTATGCTCAAAATGGTTGAATTTAATGTGAACTAGGATAATTTGTTCCCACCAAACACTCCATGAGATGAGATAATATGATTTGCCATATTAATTTTTCCACACCGAAATGGACCAAAATTTTCCTCTTTGAAAATCAAAGTATACTTTGATAGTGATGCCATGAGCAATTGACTACCAAAGCGACTCGGGAAAGTAACACATACAAATGGAAAATGTTAAAGAGATGACACTGATGTGGTTTTCATCAACAATTCTCCAATACTTTCACTAAATTAATCTTTACTTACTCATAATCTCATTGTTTGAACCATTTATTTTTTTATGTCCATATTAAAGGATCGTTCGTCCTTGACCAATGTGATACTTTTAATAGTTGTGAAGACCTAAAAGTAGAGTATGAGTCTGCCTCCTTGGTAGTGAGTTCGTTCCCTTGCAAATGTGGGTTAGGTCAGTTAATTAAAGCATTAAGATTATATTAATCTCCCTCTTTATAGATAATATTAATTTAAATTAGTTTAAACTATCATTTATATATATATATATATATATTTTTATATAAAAAGTATGAGTCGGATCTTGGCACATGAAATCAGACGGACTAGAATTGAGGTAGGGGTTTGTCCTAATTCTAGCAGATACTATGAATTCCCAACCCGAATTTATAACCCGACCCATGTGTAAAGTGAAATACAGGCAACATAATAAATATTCATGAAAGAACTCTATGCATATAATTACTAATTTTCATTAAACAAATTATGATTCTGAGCAAAAACCTCGCTTGAAGAGGGATCATTTTCCTGTAATGAGAATATAAAGAATAAGTTTAACGCGTAGTAGTAGATGCCTGAAAAAACCCGTCCAGAAGCCAAGGAATTTTCAATATTCAAATAAATAACGTGTAGAATTTTCAACGCCTCCTAGAACATTGGGGAGGCAGCAGGCTGACGGCTGTCTAGGGTTATTAAGCGTACAAGTCAAGCTCAAGCCTAGTAAAAGCTAGTCAACACACAAAAGGAAATTATAAACAAAATTGAAATTATATTTAATGTAATTCCATATTATTTTCGTGGTCTTGTTAGGGCAGCAACCTAAAAGGAAAGGAAAGGGTCGCTGTCATCAAAACCCAAACGCGTTGGAGAGAGCCAGCCAACCGCGCGGCGCATCTGGCATCTGCTTCTTCCCTCCACTTTCTCTTCTTCTTCAGTACCTTACTTACTGTGTGTATATATATATACCCTCCTCAGCTCTCTCAGCCTCAACTCACAACTGAAACCCCAAACACAAACCCATTTGGCAGCAGATGCTTATGTCTCAGAGGCCCAACGTCCCTCACTCTTCCTCCATAGCCTTTGCCCTCCATTCTCACCTCCGCATCTCCAGTGAAATGAACCCTGCCTCCTATTGGTCCTAACCCTAATCTCCCTCTTCCCATTTCCTCCTCTCCAATTTTGCTCCTCTGTTTAACCCATTCTTTCATTCTTTCAATTTTCTAACAACCCAGAAGAACAAAAATTCGACCTTTGATTCTCACTTGAAGAAATGGGTGTCAAAGGCTTCGTTGAGGGAGGCATAGCTTCCATTGTTGCAGGCTGCTCCACCCACCCGCTTGATCTCATCAAGGTCCGCATGCAGCTCCAGGGTGAGAGCAACAGCGCCGCCGCTCGCGCCCCACAGCCCATCCACAATCTCCGCCCCGCTTTTGCCTTTAATTCCCACTCTGCCACTCTGGTGGGCCCACCACCACCACCGCCGGCCCCGCCGGCACGCGCGGGGCCCATCTCAGTCGGAGTTCGCATCGTGCGGACGGAAGGCGTCGCCGCCCTATATTCTGGCGTCTCCGCCACCGTCCTCCGCCAGACTCTCTACTCCACCACCCGCATGGGCCTCTACGAAGCCCTGAAAGTCCAGTGGGCCGACCCAAACACCGGAAACCTCCCCCTGACCCGAAAAATCCTTGCCGGGCTCGTCGCCGGCGGAGTCGGTGCCGCAGTTGGCAACCCAGCCGACGTGGCCATGGTCCGGATGCAGGCTGGCGGCCGCGACTACAAGAACGTGGTGGACGCGATCACGAAGATGGCGAGGAGCGAAGGGATTGTTAGCCTGTGGCGCGGGTCCAGCCTCACGGTGAACCGCGCGATGATCGTGACGGCGTCGCAGCTGGCGTCGTACGATCAGATCAAGGAGGCGATCCTCGACAGGCACTTAATGAAGGACGGCCTCGGTACCCACGTGACGGCGAGTTTCGCGGCGGGGTTTGTGGCCTCCGTGGCGTCGAATCCCATCGACGTGATCAAGACAAGGGTGATGAACATGAAGGTGGAACCCGGGCGGGAACCGCCGTATAGTGGGGCCCTGGATTGTGCATTGAAGACTGTGAGGGCTGAGGGGCCCATGGCCCTCTACAAGGGCTTCATCCCTACGATTTCTAGGCAGGGGCCCTTCACTGTGGTGCTGTTTGTGACGCTTGAACAGCTCCGGAAGGTTCTCAAGGATTTTTGAGTTTTCCAACCCAAAGATGACGATGAAAAATAATAATTATTACTATGATTGATTAATGCAATTTTCTATTTTCCGTTTGGACAATTCAATAAATTTTCTTTTTGATAAATTTTCAAGTAATTTATAAACCCAGTTAATGATTTAATGGGGATCTCAACAGATAATTAACAAGTGAGTAGCACAATTCATCAACAAAATCAAAATTGGTTCTTTTAACAACACTTGACATGAAGAATAAGATTCAATAGTTCTCATTTGACACTCCGAAAAAGTCATCATGCAATTGAGTGGAAAATTTCACTCGAATGAGTTTACGGTCTGGTGATGTGGGAATTGAACTTTGATCATGTCCATTAAAATTAAAAATTTATAAGCATAGACTAAGCAACTGGAATGGAAATTACACATTGCATTTATATCCATACAACGCACACAAATAACTGAGCAATTCTGCTGTCTCTGTGGCAGCATAAATGAACAGTTTGGGGTTGCAAATAATTCAGTTTTACATCAAGGAGATGCTTCATATCTGTACATCCTGAGCATTAGAGGGCTTTAGCATGGACTTGAGCAGCTATTTTGATATAGGCATCAAATGCTCAATAAAAAAAACCAAAACCTATTCAATGAACTTCCTCACTCTACTCTGCACAATTTGGTCCATGTCTAGCAGCAATTTTTTTCTTCTTCTATGAAATAAGAAGATCCCATTTGCAAAAAAACTGTCCTTGAGCCTTAAGAGAACATATAAACATTTGCTATGATCTAGAGTCCGTCCTTGGAGTACCGAAAGGTTTACTCTCTACGATTCGACCTTTCTCCACGCTAACGGACAGATGGCTTTCTGATTTTCCTCTGTCCAGGCTATGCTGCTGTTGGCTTTCTGATTTTCTGCCTCTCTCTGCGTACGAATGACTCTCTGCTTTTCTAAGCTTCTCTGGCTTTTCTGTGGTTTCCAAGCTCTTGTCTGAGTATTGGATTGATTGACTTTTATCCAAATTTTGGGCGGGTTGACCAGAACCTCGGCCTTGAATTTCATTTGCTATTTGGCTCCTCCGCTCCTTCAAAAAATTCAGTCGCGACGTCAACTTTGTTATTGCCGAAGTTGTGCCTCCCTGTTATGCACAGGCAAAGAGGGATGTAACTATTTCTAGCCTTCTATCTAGTCAGAGAAATAAATAAGCTCATCCAGCAGAAACATGAGTAAAATCCAAAGCAGCAAGTAAGCAGTAAAAAAAAAAGAGCAAAGAAACCTTAATAAAAATCGTCATCGGGCAATCTGGCACGATGCGGTATACGCATGAAAAACGAATCTTCAAATATTTAATAGAGCCATTGATTACAGTTCTATTGAACTAGAACAAAACAAACAAACTGGAGCCAAAGTAAAATAGGACGAACCCTACCTCACCCCCTGTACCACTTTTCTTGGAGTTGCTTGGAGCACTAGGCTTAGCCCCCACTGGCTCTACAGCAAAAGAATCGGTTGGCAACACAACCGACCGAGAGTTGCTTCTATGTTTTTCTGCTCCATCTGTATGAGTATCCTGTTGAACCATGCCCATAAATTGGTTTTAACGAAATTACTACATTTACATAATCCACTTTTGCACAAACTGCTCGCTCAAAGATTAGACTCCATTTAGCTTAAACATAATCCACTTTTGATCTACAAGTCAAGCTTGAGCAGTACCAAGCCAAGTTAAAACAGAAGTAAACATTGATGTTGTAACTTGTAACTACAGCTCTTCAGAGCCAAACACATTCTCTGAGCAAGTTTTGTCGGTTAATATTATTGTTCTTGAAATAAATCAGTCTGCTTCACTTTTAGGTTAAAAAATATTAGGCAATCAGTTATTATTTGTTCTTCTCTTAATCTATCTTCTCTTTGAGGTTAAAAAAATGTGTAACTTAAAGTCAAGCAGTGACCTTTGTTCATGAAGATATCTCAAATGTCAAAATATATCTACCTTACTTCTTGATGATTCATCACGTGAAGGGGCAATGGCTTCACTGTCCTGTTTTTTATCCATTGCGTTCCTAAAAACAAGGCACAAAAAAGGGGAAAAGAAAGTGCAGCTAAGTTACCGAAGGATGACTACATAGAAGACAGGGTGATCCAACAAGAAAGGACCACCAATTAACTAAAGATCTTACGGTTTTGCATGAAGATCCCGATTATGTTGGGACAAAGTGGATGCATCAGCCATAGAGCCATGGTTTCTCTCTCGTTGTTGGTTAAGCTGTACACCTAGATCATCAACCTTCTTCTTCAAGTTGGCAACATTTGCCTCTGCCTGAGCTATTTCATGAAGCTCTGCCCTTGTCTATAGCACATACGCAAGTTAACCAGTTGGTGAATCATTAAAGATCTTATGCCATACCAGTTAAAGGACAGAAGACTAACTTTTTCATCAACAGTGGCTAAATTGGGTACACATCCTCCAGAAATATGAAGTCCTGCTTCAAGAGCTGCTGTTAAATCCCTCTCCTTCTGTAACTCTTCCTGTAGTCTTGCCACCTGCGAGTACGTTTAATGTCCAATAACAGTATATTATTAGCTTCATCATCATGGCTAGTTACCACTGAAGATCTCAACCATTCAATAGAAACTAATTACTTAATAAGCATTCGATTCTATGGATAAAGAAGCATTTAAAACTTCCTTGCCTATACAAAAAATTAAAAGTTCAATATGCGAAAGACAGGGAAAATAAAGTATAGAAAAGGAAATATTAGAAAAACCAGAAAATATATTCTCCCCTATGAAACTTACATCTTGCTCGAGAGCTAGACGACGCTCACGCAAGGCTGTCTTCTGTCTTTCCAAACTTGCTTGCAGAGCTGCATTCCCTTGAACCTGTAAAGGAAACTAACGACTTAGATATAGAAAATTCCAAATAACTTGATACAAGGTAACTGGAAAGAGAAATACACCTCTTCTGCAATTCTGTTTTCCAACTCTGATTTAGTAATCTCAAGCATCTGGATTTCATCCCTTCATACAGGAAGAAAACTAGCTGTTAGAAATAATTAATCGAATTGAAAGAGCTGAAGATTTTTAATGTTACAACTTTGCTACAAACATATTTTCCTGTTAGTCAAATAGTTAGTAGTTAGTAGTTATAAGTAATAATGTAAAAATCACTGCATCCTAAATGGCAACACTAATGGTACATCAAGAGTAAGTAAATCACTAATGCCTTTAGCAAAAAAGTAATATTGATGTTGGGGTCATGTGCCACCATGATCAAAATCATGTGTTCTATATGTTGTGTACATGCGTGCATGCTTCTGTATATATTGATATCTCCACTTCCAGAAATAACATCAAGCATGTGACAGAGGGCATCTGCTGACACTAAAAAAGATACAAGGACGACAAAAAAAAAATTATACGCAAGTTTATACAAGGAAAGTAGTTCTACAGATATGCAATATGCATCACTTACTCCTCCTCAAGGCTGTAATCGATGGATTCCATTGAAAGGTTCTTCTTTGCCTGGACTCAAAATCCCCCCACCCCCCAAAAAAGAAAAGACCAATAAACAAAAGATCTCTGAATACAGTCACTAGATTAGGATCATACACATGCAAAAGTAGAAAATGGATAGGGTGTATGGAAGAATTCAAAGTCCTTTCTTTTATAACCTAATGTAGAAAAATATAAATTGTCATAGAAAGGCCTAACAAGCAAGGCATCACATCACCACTCCAGAAAACATATACTTACAGCGGTACGTCCCCAAACAGAACGACCTCTTGTACTAAGTGCAGGTCCATTGGATATAGTTGAAGATTTTTGGATGGATGGAAGACCATGAACAATTGGCTGCTGCACAGAACTTGTTTCTCTAGAAACATCTCCTACTACAGCAGACTCATTAGCCAGCTCTGCCGAATTATTTTTACTTGAAACCAGTTCATTCTCATTCTTTTGCACATCATGTTGAGGCTGCAAAGTTTTAAGTGAGCTTGACGACAACTTCTGAGCTTGAATATTATCATCTCCATCAAGGGACTTGGAACCTGAGCTAAAACCATCACCATCCTGCACCCTTAAAGCATTTAGTATACATGGTGTAACCAAATTTTCCATCTCTTATAGTTTCTTGAGCAAACAAAATCACTAACAAAATGAAAATAGAATCCATTCATGAGAACAGAGGGAAAAAAAACCATCACAGCAACCATGCAGAAACTAGTCACAGGGACACAACATAGTACAATTTGTTGAAGTGGGTGAAAAGCCTAAAGAAGTGGCTAAGTAAGATTGTTTTAGTTTGGATATTAAGATCAAATCATAAGACAAAAGAGCTTGAGGACATAAACATAGCAAACAGTAAATATATTATTATATATGAAAACTTCCAAATTTGTCTCGCAATCGACTAGCAACAGCAAAAGAGATGAACAAAAAGCTGGATACATAGCTAATGGTCCCTATGCACAGGCACCAATATTAATTTAACCAACTTGAAAGAACGAAATAGTCTTGTCAAGGTCTGGCTCTAATGGATTGAAGGATTAACTATGCTAGGATCTTTTTATCATTACAACATATGTGCAGTTTAATGATAAAGTCAGAAAGTATAGAAATGAACCTTATCATTATGCAGATCACTGTGTCCAGAGTCACCACTCTCACTGCATGTTCCATCAGAAACAATTTCAACATCATCATCTGTTTCTGCATCAGTTTCATCATCATAGTAATCGCCTTCGTCAGATGCCCCCTCGGTCTCACTTTCACTCTCTTCGGTGTCACTGTATAGTTCAGGGGAGAGATCACCTTCCTGCAAATACACTAGTATTTATGGAACTCAAAAGTACAGACCCAAGGTGAAATAATCAATGAAAGAGGTGTGAAGAAAGAACTTGATTACTTGATTTCAACTTGAAAAATATTGAATATTTTCAACAACATTATAACATTATAAAATGACCAGTGAATACAGATCATCGTATTGCATGGTATAGATTCCAATTTCACTTAAAATGGCATTAAAAAAAAGACTAAAGGGCTGATGCCAAGGAGACAACACCTGGATAACGATCTTAAAACAAAAAGGAAAACATTTTATAAGAAGATGGACTCCTTATAATGTGAGTTCAAAATCCAAACTATTTTTCTGATACTAAGCAACGAAAGAATGTCAACTCTTCAAGCTAATTAAGACAATTGATGGAAACTAAAAAAATATTTGTTTGGATACCAACATTCATAAAGAATCCCATAGTCCAATACTAGCACAAGCTAGTGTACTAGAATGCATGTGAATTTGCTTGTGACAAAATAGAAGGAAGTATTATCATAGAAAAGTAATTTTTAAAAAGTAAAAATCTTGTTTGAGCGTACCCCAAATATGTTATCATACTCCTCCAACAAAGTAATAACGATTGCTTGAGCATGATTAGCTGCAGCAGCGGCTTGCAATAGTTGAACCGAACCATCACCCCCCATATCAAAATCGTTATCAACTTCACAATCTCCAGCTAGGAGTGGACGGAGAAGTAAGGGTGCCATGCAAGCTGCCACAGCTGAGCAGCTCATTCGATTCACAGCTTTGTGCACAGCCACAGTTTGCATCATCAATAGAATTCTGAACCAGGAAAAGAGACAAATTAAATCATACCAAATATAACTTGACACCATATACATGCAAGATGGTAAAGCAAGTGAAATATAGTTTGGGTATTGGATCTAAACAAAAATCAGAAATAATGATAGCAACATAAAAGTAACCTTTGCAATAAACGACGATTTGGCTCTGGGAATGTATCACATATTGTTGTACGCATAGCATTGATTCTACCACCGCGATCATTACCTAATCATTGTGAAATGGCTGTTAAAGGAAATCAAATGTAATAGTAAAATAAACCCAGTGTAATCTTATAGGACAAATGTTGCAATGTACTCCATTGATAGATTCCAAATTAGCTACAGTGTGAATTTCAGCCACTATATGCTTACAACGGACCTAAAGTCTAAATTAAATTGGTCAAAATGTAAAACTTATCCTCTGAAGGAATACGCACTCACACTATGGCATATATTCTGTTAGAATACGAGTGACCAACCCAAAAACAATTGGCAAATGACTGGGGAGGTCCAAGATCCTTTAAGCACTAATGCAAAGTTTCCATTTTCTAATGTGGGATACTCTCAACACACCCCTCGCTAGTGTTGTCTATTGAGCCTAGCACCTGTTCAATTTTTATTGGGTGGAAGCATATGTGGCCATTTGGCCTGACACGTGGATATTGTGCTATGAGGTAATGTTAGAACTAGAGTCCCTAACCCAAAACCAATTAGGGTCAGTGGTTCAGTATTTAGGCTGTAAGATTTAGCAACAACAAAATCTTTAACAAGCGCTCGCTCTCTAAAGCAAGCTAGATAGCCTCCAATCACTAGGTTTCAAATAACTTTTCCCTATTATTCGCCACTCCAATTTCACAGAACAATAAAACCAGGAAAGACTCTCCCGCACTGTGATTGTCCATATTTCATTAACTTGGTTTTCAAACAGTAACATCATGCTTTTAAAGCTGGATTACTCTTTTCCTTGTTAGAAAATATACTGATTGACTTCAAGCATAAAGCTTTCAAGCCAAGAAAGAATGTAGATCAAGAGTGAAAGGTGATAAGCCCAGAAACATGAAGGGAAAGAATCTAGTTTTATGTATTTCACAAAAACCAGAACATCTCATATAGTTCTGTTTATTGCAACCAACAAAAATTATAAACAATAAAAGGTAGACAGAAAATCATTTTCTGAGCCAACGAATACAAATAGCAAGACTGTCAAATAATATAAACCTTTGCATATTATAAAACGATTAAAATTAAAGGGTGCGAAGAGGGTGTTAAAGAGACAGATGATATGTTTTGCCCAATCTTATGACACAATACATATCCTATGTTCGTAACTAAAAGGAATAAAGAGATAGGTGATATGTTTTAAATCAGATGCATCATACCAGACTTACGAAAGGCTTCTAGTAGTGCATTGCAGCAAGAGGCAGGGACCGGAGAAGATGGCAACTCCCGAAGGACATACTGCAAATTTGCATCAAGACAACAAATATAAAAACAGCTTTCAGAGCATTCTATCAACTGAATGAAGAAATCAACATTTTGTTGTGACAAATATATACCTTGACACAATCAGCAATAATATGTGGATCCTCCTCAGGAGAAAACTCAATTTTCCCTGATTCATAAAACATAAAGCGAAAGTATCTCAGATATTGACAGTGCACTCCCACTGAAAAACATATCTAATATGAAACTACCATGTAAATACATGACTTTGGCTTCCTTGTTTACAGAAGATCATAAGCCAAGAAGGGATAAATTACTTTAGAAATTAATTTTAAAAAGACAGTCCTGAATCTACAGAACAGATGAAAATTTTCACCACAGGTAGAACAAGATTAAGAATAGGATAAAAATTTCCATGACCAACACTCAGGAGAAAACTCAATTTTCCCTGATTCATAAAACATAAAGCGAAAGTATCTCAGATATTGACAGTGCACTCCCACTGAAAAACATATCTAATATGAAACTACCATGTAAATACATGACTTTGGCTTCCTTGTTTACAGAAGATCATAAGCCAAGAAGGGATAAATTACTTTAGAAATTAATTTTAAAAAGACAGTCCTGAATCTACAGAACAGATGAAAATTTTCACCACAGTTAGAACAAGATTAAGAATAGGATAAAAATTTCCATGACCAACTTCTGGCATGTGGCAAATGAGCTGTCGACTTCTTAAGCATACTTGTTATAGAGAAATTAATGGTCAGATGTGCAAAACATAATGATGAAAGAACAAACTCTGCAATAGTATATTAAACAATAAAAGTAATTAAAAAAAGAAGAAGATGATTTAACACCAAATATTAAATAAAAGAAAAGAGATGCTAACCCTGTTCATATTCTCGTACTCGACTTTCAACATCATCAACATCTGCAGCTTGCCGTAAGATCCCCTCTACTATGACTCCTATTAATTTCCACCAAATGATCAGATTCATATATCGAACAAGCAAAATTAATAATTGTTACCAAAACCAATAATGGAAAAGATCATACAGACATGAGATTGTTCATAGTCTATCTACAAAGCACCCTCAAGTGACAGCTGCAACTTAAGAGCCTTAAGTATAAGTATGTTAAATTCATAAAAATCTGAAAACATTAATACCTATTAAATCCTTGTTATGCCAGTATTAACCAAAAAGAAATAAAACTGAGTATAAACAAAACATCAATGAAATATACTAGATTACAGAACAGCTGACTTGTCACATGTACACAACTTGTGCAAGGGTTAAATTTTAAAAAAAATGTATCCAAAATCCAACAAGAAATTTTTACCATTGAACTAAAAACCCCGTCCGAAAATATCTTTTTCACAAAAACACAAACCTTAAGTATACAATAGATCCTATCAATGTTTTCAGGACCAGACTGGTCATCAAAGTGTAGGAGGGCGAGGGGTCCAGGCCAAAGGTTCAACAGCAGTTGAACCACTGAAGTCCAGTTAATGTAATAGTTATACAAAAATAATTGGTACAATTAAGAATTCTAGGGATAGATTCAAATCAAGATATTACGAAGGGATTAAAAGTTTAAAAGTGTGATTTATTCAACAAAAGGTAAAAGTATAAAACCACTAAGGAAACCAAGAAAATAAAATTCACAGCAAAATTTTAAAACAAAAAACTGAAGCCCTTAAGAAGAAGAAGATGCCTTTCAAGGGAAAAATTAAGCCAAGAATCTTTTTGAATTTTATAAAAATATTTGTACTTTATACAACTCTCTCTCTCTCTCTCTCTCTCTCTCTCCCCCCTCTATTTCTCTTCGTCTACTGTCTCCTCTTTTATGTTGAACCCCTCCATTTCTTTTATAACAAGGAAAAAAGATACTGTTTAAGCCAGAAAGCAGTAAAAACAAGAAAACAGCCAATGTCCGTGGACTGCTGCCATTTTTTTGGGACCTGAGAACCATTTCTGCTAAATCCCAGCAGGAAATCTTATGTCAAGGCATTGCTTGACCACAAATCAATACACAAACAGACAGAGATATTGAAAACTCTGTAATTAACTGCATGCATTAAAGGATACAAAATGAGTGTTCTATATCACAAGACCAATGATTATAATTAAAGTACCAAAAAGGTCAAAAATACATCCAAATCAGAAGACTAGATACCAATTACGGTGTCTCCGACAGTGCAGGCATTAAAAAAAATCTCAAAAGCATGGAAAGACCAATCTACTAAAAGAATTACGAATATATTTCTTTATATTCAGAGGAAAAAATAGGCAATATAAATTAAGTCGGTGCACTATATTGAATACAATTGTACTACTAAGGTGAGGTGACATGATTGTGAGATAAGGAGAACCCACCATATTCTTCTACGAACCTAAGGGCTTTTTCCAAGAAAGATGGAGCTCCATCGACATCTTCCAAGGCCAGCAAAACAGGCACCCCAATGACTGTAGATTTTGCAGGCTTTTTCTCCTTTGCTAAAAAGAAATACAAATGCCAATATTTCAATGAGGTGGAATAAGCATAGCAAGAAATTAATTCCAGTTCAAAATATACAATGCAAGTTCCCATCATAAGAAAACCTGTGCTACAGGATTTCATGCTTAACAGATTAGCCATGATGAACATTGAGTACCAGAAAACTAAATATGATGAACATTGATTGCATTACACTGCATACACAACTCAAATCTTTGTATTCATAATGCAGCAGAACCCATCAGTGTCCAATTGAATATGGATAATGACCAGAAGTTCTATCAATACTTGTCGACTTTTGTTAGTCTTACGATATTGGTTGCACCGAAATTCTAATAAGTTAAAAAAAATGTAGTTCAAGTTGTCTCTTTAAATTTTTCCAGATAGATTTTACTTAAACAGTAGAAAGTAGAGCTTCTGCATACCACATAAAGGCCAAATAAATATGATAAAGGCTCAGGTAGTGTAATGTGTAAATCGTTTAACACCAAAGTTGATCTTACGAGACTATGCTAACAGAGGAAAGACAAATCCACACAGCATAGCATAAATATGTTAAACACTATGTCTAAAGCATCACTATAGGAAGAGCATACACTGGTCCAAAGAACCATCGACTGAATCAGTCTTCTCATTCCCCAATATACCATTTTGCCCCATTGCTCCACCACTTGGGGCTTGTGCCAAAGCATTCTCAAGTGCAGTCTTCCACTCATGTAGATCCTCCAAAGTTTCAGCCTGCAGAAGCAAGAGGTATAACCAATACGTCAGCAGCAGATAGCAAGACCACAATAGCCTCCATATCTAACTTTTAGTCAAAAGGTTTTCAAAGTAGTCAACTTCTTTTGTCAACTTCTCAATGTTTTCCCTACTTTTACAAAACTGTTATGCACAGGTAGTGTCTTTCTTCTTCCCTTGAAGTTCTAGCTTGGGCACACAGCCGATGCAATTTCCTCAACAAGTTTGAAAAAATATAGGTTCATATTTGATAGGATATGGTAGAACCAAATATAAGTTCCTTTAAACAATGAATTTTTACATTCTCTATACAGGAATATACAGAAAATATGTGCTCAGATTGTCATTGTATCAAATCATGCATCGCCCTTTATATATGGAAACATTAAAAAAATGAAGAGATAGAGGAGAACCTAGAAGCACAAGTTAACCCAGTTTTGAAGGAGTTTACTTTATACATATACAGGGAAGGAAATTTATACAGGACCACAGAATATTTTTACATAAAGGAATCATATTTATCCATAAGCGAACAGCAGATTCTATGGCTTCCATGGATGATAATTCATATAAAGACTAGATTACATGTGATTTTTATGAGGAATTTGTTTTCCCAGTCAGTTGAATATGCTGTTTCATGAGAATCCTGCTGAAAGATCCTGTTATGGCTTGCTCTAATTAACTTTCCTATTTGCAAAAAGAAAATGGAGAAGTTGAAAATCTAAAAGTTCCATTAAGACAATAGAAGCATTTTTCAAGTTTTCAACCAAGAAACAATTATAGTAGAGACAAAAGGGAAAGACATGCCTTAAGTGTGAACGCTCGTCCATCACGGCCATCCGGAAATAGCACGGTCAAGAGTTTCTTGTCTGCTTTGACAACCACACTAGAAAATTTTACAATTAAATGCTGTGAGGTTAGCAGTCATATAAGAGCAGAATAGCAGATAAAATCCAATTCAGAATTACAAGCCAACCTGCCTGAATTGTTGAGGTCAATACCACCCAGGGTCAAATTCACTTCACTCCCCTTTAGAGCAGCACTCTGGCAATGCAATTATAGCAGATGAAAGTTGAAACATTTCAAAAACTTATTAATGAAACAAGCACGAGAGAGAGAGAGAGAGAGAGGACCATAGAAAACACTGTCATTAAATTGATACAGGAAGGCCCATGTTCCTAGCCCGCAGTTAAAATAACCACATCACCTATCAAAATATGATTCTTTTTGGGATTTTTCTTCTGGTATATGCATACAGAAATAAAAATATTATGAAAAAAGGCATTGGCTGGCCAACACATGTCAATCAGATAAACGATCTGACACAATAAAACTCCTGGCTGGCCAACACATGTCAATCAGATAAACGATCTGACACAATAAAACTCCTGCAACAGGACTAGAGGGGACATGCTATAAGTCCTAACATGAAGAGTTTCTAGGCAACATGCTTTTGTCAATGAATGAGTTCATCCACTTTTATGAAATGAGTGCTCATCATTATCGCATTGCAAGCTTTTTTTAGAAGAAAAGCTCAGTGTAGCGCTTAATGACAATAATACGTCAAATGTTTCCTTGCAGCTATTTTGCTGTGATGAAAGATAACTAATTCCTTAGGATGTCACAATATTTACCAATAACACAAGAAACAGACAAGAAGAAACAGATTTAAGCACATGCACACACTATTTACCAGAAAATAACTACTTACTGGATCACTTCTGAAAAAAACCAGTGAAGTACGAGTTAAAATAAACCATCTTTTTTTCCAAGATGTCCATCCAATTCCCTTCGATGATATAAATAGTGGCCCACTTTTGAAAATCTGCAAAACAGTGTATACTTCAGAATGGTAGTTTCACTTTGGTGAACCCGGAGATTTAAAAAAAAAAAATAGATTACATGAAAACAAATAGTATAGGACATTATTTCATCCTCATTCATCTAAATTATTGATCACCACCTAAAGTCCCGAAAGCTTTTGTCTTTTGGTAAAGGCTGAGGTTATGCAACAATATAAAGCTATAAATTCTCTGAGAATTGCAATCATATATTGCTGTTCCTCTTAACAAACTTTATCCTTAATATTTTAACTGCAAGGAAAATATACAGTCAACAAATTTGTTTCATATGTGGTATATTAACAGAATGTACATACAAATTCTAAGTTTCAATATGAGCCTATCAACTACAATGGCAATAAAGGAAATGGCAATGATAATCAAGTGATGATAATGATCCCAAATCCCGATAATGACAACTATGTTTCGTGAACTCACTGATAACAGGCTCATACAAACCAGGGATAGTATGAAAATAAACTTCAGCCACAATATTTGTTATGATTGAAGATAACATGACATTACCGTATTGCCACTACGAGAAGGCTGCGATTCAGGTCGACCAGGGCCACCAGGCGGGGGAGGAGGAGGAGGAGCATTGCCTTCTCCCTGAAACACACAACAACCATATAAATTTCCTTTCCACCACAAATAATGCACATTCGAATTGTGTCTGTATAGTACATTTGTGTGACTATGCATGTACAATGTTCATGTGTGTTCCTTCCTATAGATTCAAGCTATTGACAACAAAAAAGCAGCATTTGTCACAAAACAAGAATATAATTGAACCAAAAACGTACCTGAGGCGTTTCCGCGATTCGGTTAGTCATCCTCTGAATCCCAGAGTTACAGAAACATATCCCACATGGATCCACACCACCCCGCGCCTACATTGATCAAAACTCACAATGTAACCCAAAAGATCAAACCCAGAAACCAACCAAACCAAACCCACAAAAACAGCAAAAATACCAAATCAAACAAGCAAGCCCATGATTTATTTTCCAAAACTAAAACAACAAAAACAGAACAATTCACCAAAGGCCAAAGCTTTTGAAATGGGAAAAACATACCTTGTTTAAAATATGAAGAAACAAATTGAAATGTGGGTTGTTATTGGTTTGGAAAGAGAAAGAAGATGATGAATGAGGACAAGGAAGAAGCTTTTGTGAGAGTCTCTCTCTCTTCTCTCTTTTGTTCTCCTGAGAGATTAGAGAGCGAGAAATTGTTGTTTGTGTTGTTGTGTTGTTGTGTTGTGTCCCCAACAGAAACAAACCTGGGTGGTGGTCAAGCCAAGCCCATAGAGAACGGGCCCTCCGAATATGCGGCAGTTGTACACATCACCCCTATTCTTAGTCTTCTTCAACGTGTTGGAGGGAAAAACGTGCAGGGGCCTTTTTGGTATTTCACTCCACCAACTCTCTGACTTTGTACTTTCTTTTAAGGTTTGATGTCTGGTCCTCTAATTACGTCCTTAAAATATGGCAAGCTTGTTAACACATTGTCCATATCCCAAATCAAACTTGTCAATATATTGTGAGTTATAATTCTAAGCTAACTCATCTAAGCGAATCGTAAATTATTGAAAATAAATGTTTATACTACACATTATTACATACTCAAAAGGTTTTTATGCATTATATTTTCTTTGCGGACAAATTTATAGATTCAAGCATGTCGATTTTTGAATTTGGAGATTCAATTCAGATTGTTAAAGACATTGAACCTAATTAAATTGGATTATATTGACAGTTTGGACAAATTGGATAAGATTTTGAACAACTCTATTGGACAAGTAACATATTCAATTTGTTGGCGCTAAAACTAGACAGGTAGTAAGTAGACCAACTTAAAGATGAGGTGAATGTTGAAGGTGAGGACCCTCAGTATGTGAAAGCATTTGGTAAGTAAGTAAACATACATACAGAAGACAAATGTACGTGGTTCACCCGAATAATGGGCTACGTTCACGAAGAAGTATGTTCTCATTATGATAATGTGTGTATACATTGTACGTAGGGTTAGACCCGATGGGAAGAGGAAGAATACCGAAGGCCGAAGGCAGATGCCGAAGGCTGAGGGCAGATGCCGAAGGCTGAGGGCAGATGCCGAAGGCTGAAGGCAGATGCCGAAGGCTGATGGCCGAAGGCTGAGGATCTGGCTGATGGCCGATGATTCGTGGGCTTGTAAATGGGCTCATGGGTAAGCCCATGAGGCCCTAGTAGCCTGCCCAATCTCTTTCTTCCCCCCCTCTTTTGAAGGAGAGGGGTCTTCTTTTGAAAGGAAAGTAGGATTTGGCTGTTGGCCCACGTGATAAAATAAACATATTAATTAATATAGATTATTCAATAACAGCAATACATATTACATTTTAAAAGGATAAAAAAAAAGTTGAGTGGGGGCCAGTGACTGCACTGGTCCCCACGTGCCTCCGCCCCTGGTTAGACCTAAGGGGAAGAGGAAGAATACCGAAGGCCGAAGGCCGAAGGCAGATGCTGATGGCTGAGGGCAGATGCCGAAGGCTGATGGCCGAAGGCTGAGGATCTGGCTGATGGCCGATGATTCGTGGGCTTGTAAATGGGCTCATGGGTAAGCCCATGAGGCCCTAGTAGCCTGCCCAATCTCTTTCTTCCCCCCCTCTTTTGAAGGAGAGGGGTCTTCTTTTATAGGGAAGGGAGAGTCCCCTTCTCTTGTGTTTTGTCGATGTGGGACTCCCTTCCCTTTGCTTGGATTAGCTTGGAAATGCTTGGCCAGATATTGTACAAACAGGAGTCCCCCAAGTTCCCGATTAAGGAGGTACTTCTTGATTTGGGGACTTGTAGTCATCAATGTACTGGCCAAGTAATGTTTCTGCTCATTCTTCAGCAGGCCGATGGCTGATGACCGATGGCCGAAGGCTGATGGCTGATGGCCGATAGCTGATGGCCGATGCCGAAGGTCGATAGCCGAAGGCTGGTGGCCAAAGGCTGGTGGCCGAAGGCAGGTGGCCGAAGGCAGGTGGCCGAAGGCAGGTGGCCGAAGGCTGATAGCCGATGCCGATAGCCGAAGGCCGAAGGCTGATGGCGCCATAAGGGAGAAGTGTCTCCTGGAAGGTGCCGTTCGGCATGGCTTTGAGAAAAAGCGATGGAGAAGTGTCTCCTAGAAGGTGCCGTTCGTCATGGCTGAAGGCTGATGCTGATGGCCGAAGGCTGGTGGCCGAAGGCTGATGGCAGATGTCGATAGCCGAAGGCCGAAGGCTGATGGCGCCATAAGGGAGAAGTGTCTCCTGGAAGGTGCCGTTCGGCGGAAAAACATACCTTGTTTAAAATATGAAGAAACAAATTGAAATGTGGGTTGTTATTGGTTTGGAAAGAGAAAGAAGATGATGAATGAGGACAAGGAAGAAGCTTTTGTGAGAGTCTCTCTCTCTTCTCTCTTTTGTTCTCCTGAGAGATTAGAGAGCGAGAAATTGTTGTTTGTGTTGTTGTGTTGTTGTGTTGTGTCCCCAACAGAAACAAACCTGGGTGGTGGTCAAGCCAAGCCCATAGAGAACGGGCCCTCCGAATATGCGGCAGTTGTACACATCACCCCTATTCTTAGTCTTCTTCAACGTGTTGGAGGGAAAAACGTGCAGGGGCCTTTTTGGTATTTCACTCCACCAACTCTCTGACTTTGTACTTTCTTTTAAGGTTTGATGTCTGGTCCTCTAATTACGTCCTTAAAATATGGCAAGCTTGTTAACACATTGTCCATATCCCAAATCAAACTTGTCAATATATTGTGAGTTATAATTCTAAGCTAACTCATCTAAGCGAATCGTAAATTATTGAAAATAAATGTTTATACTACACATTATTACATACTCAAAAGGTTTTTATGCATTATATTTTCTTTGCGGACAAATTTATAGATTCAAGCATGTCGATTTTTGAATTTGGAGATTCAATTCAGATTGTCAAAGACATTGAACCTAATTAAATTGGATTATATTGACAGTTTGGACAAATTGGATAAGATTTTGAACAACTCTATTGGACAAGTAACATATTCAATTTGTTGGCGCTAAAACTAGACAGGTAGTAAGTAGACCAACTTAAAGATGAGGTGAATGTTGAAGGTGAGGACCCTCAGTATGTGAAAGTATTTGGTAAGTAAGTAAACATACATACAGAAGACAAATGTACGTGGTTCACCCGAATAATGGGCTACGTTCACGAAGAAGTATGTTCTCATTATGATAATGTGTGTATACATTGTACGTAGGGTTAGACCCGATGGGAAGAGGAAGAATACCGAAGGCCGAAGGCAGATGCCGAAGGCTGAGGGCAGATGCCGAAGGCTGAGGGCAGATGCCGAAGGCTGAAGGCGGATGCCGAAGGCTGAAGGCGGATGCCGAAGGCTGAAGGCGGATGCCGAAGGCTGAAGGCGGATGCCGAAGGCTGAAGGCGGATGCCGAAGGCTGAAGGCGGATGCCGAAGGCTGAAGGCGGATGCCGAAGGCTGAAGGCGGATGCCGAAGGCTGAAGGCGGATGCCGAAGGCTGAAGGCGGATGCCGAAGGCTGAAGGCGGATGCCGAAGGCTGAGGATCTGGCTGATGGCCGATGATTCGTGGGCTTGTAAATGGGCTCATGGGTAAGCCCATGAGGCCCTAGTAGCCTGCCCAATCTCTTTCTTCCCCCCCTCTTTTGAAGGAGATGTGTCTTCTTTTATAGGGAAGGGAGAGTCCCCTTCTCTTGTGTTTTGTCGATGTGGGACTCCCTTCCCTTTGCTTGGATTAGCTTGGAAATGCTTGGCCAGATATTGTACAAACACAATTTATAACAGTTTATGGACAAAATTGGGAGGTGACAAAGCAACTTTTTGAAAGATAGGGATAGCTTAGGTACAAGTCGGATAAGTTCAATATCTGATTCAATGACAAATTTATTAAAGTTAGTACTTAATTTAGTTGACATATAAGTTAATTTATTAATTTGGTTACTTGCTTGAAAAACATAACCTAATACAGATCTTTTAATTGCGGAACAACATTTAACTAAGACCAAATACCATTTTCCGCTTTAGTCTCTTCAATTTCGGTAATTTTAATCATTTAGAGCACTTCCACCTATTTGCCATGACAAAAGGCAAGGGCATTCACTGTCCAAGCAATATTTTTGTTGCTTTTCCACCTATTGTCATGGCAATTCAATGGCAATTACTATTTACATGGATTAATTTTATTTATATGTATGAGATTAATAATAAATAAAAAAATTGCTAGGAATGTATAAAATAATATTATGAACTTTTTCGTATTTTTTTCAATTTTTTTATAAATAATTTCGTCGCTAACTTTAGTGTCCTCAGGCAACAGTTCGGGCTGTTCTTGCCTTCAAGCCTGTCAGGGCTTGTTGGAGCCCATGTTTTGCCTGGGCTATTTTATACCGCTGGAGTGGATTTTCTCTCCCTGAGTAGATAGAGCCGCTAGAACTGCTCTTAGCAATCAAGTCCTACACCATCATCATGTTAAGAAAAAAATAAATAAAGGAAAACTCTTACGTTTTGGGTTTATTCTGCATTTGTTAATGTTGATGACAAATGTTATGGAGAAGCAAAAGTGTCCTCATATGGAGATTGTCATGCATTGGTTTTATTGTGCATTTGTTAATGTTGTTAGGAAATTGGAGTGTTTTCTTCACAAATTAAGGAGGATTAGCTTAATTAAATATAAGACTTCCTATAATTTTTGTATTGAGTGTGACATTTGAATAGTATTTCAATTTAAAAAAATACAAATACAAATACAAAAAGGATTTTGTGAATGCTCTTTAACCACTTTGTGTTAACAAACCTCTTTCAATTCAGTTGCTTATAGACAAATAGTCATCCTCCACAACTTTTGAAGGAGCTATGACCAAATTAGAGGCGCCAAGTCCACGCAACTTTTAAAAAGAGAAATAATTGTTTGCACTGATTTTGGCAGCCAATGAGCCCATGCCACTACTAAATTCAAGGACCCTGATGAGCGGTTGAACAGTATGGCAATGATGCAAGGTTCCTTTTTCTACTAGCATAAGCACCACCACCCATTTCTGGAGAAATTTTGGGGTGTGACCGTATATACAGACACATGATGGTCTATATGTAAATGACAAATTTGATATGTTATGACCTAAAATTTAAAATAAATAAATAACTACACATATTATAACATGAGTAAATTAATAACATTTGGCCATCTCAGTGTGCTCTTCTTGCTCATGGTTGTAAACTTGTAATCAATGGGCACATAAAAGTCCAGGCCACATCATTCAAAAAGTGACCCCTTATTGGATAGTAGTA